CCCTGCCAAGGGCAGGGACACCTTCTACTAGACCAGGTTGCTCAAAGCCCCATCCAACCCAGCCTTGAAAACCTCCAGGGATGGGGTATCCACAAATTCCCTGGGAAACCTGTGCCAGCATCTCACCATCCTCACAATAAAGAGCTTCTTTGTTATATCTAATCTAAATCTACTCTCTTTTCATTTAAAACTTGCTCTTATACAAAGAGCACTGCTTTCTCTTATACAAAGTCCCTAATCATCTCTAACAACCATTTCTGTTCACATGAAAAGAATCACACAGAAAGTGCAGCCTGCTCCCTGCCTCTGCATTTCCCACAGATTCCACAGATGCTCACCAGAAATGAGGTATGGGCTAAACTGTTAAGCAGCAAGGTCCCAGATGCCTGCTGTTTTTAAAGTTCCAGGTCCTGGTCCCATTGATGACTGGTGGTGCACCTTTCTGAGGACCAACCTGTAATCCCTCTGCTGTGTTGGAGGGCCCATGTCTTTCATTCACTCAACAAGCTCACATGTGTACATGAGGCTGCCTAGCTATAAGACACCTATAAGGCGCTCCTTAAAAGGTCAAATGGCCTTCCTGTCAGAAATGGAGAGCCAGGAAAGATCACCTTTAACACCAAACTAATGCTATGCTACCAGGAAGGCCTACCAATGTAGTGTAGTGTTAACATGGCTTGGGCACACACAACACACCTTCAATACAAAATTGACCACAAAATAAACTTCTTTTTAAAAAAAAAGCCTATGCTGAATACCCCTCTCTGAAGTAGAAGTGGTTCTTCCTGAGTCCTTTTTCTAAATAAACATGGTTTTTTTTCTATTCAGTGTGTAGCACACCTTACTGCTGCTTGCGGATTTTTAGTGCTGTTGAACCGTGCCATCTGCTGGCTCTCCTGAGAAAGAAAGACTGCTGAGAGCTCAAAACCACAGGATGCTTGCCGGGCTGAAAGGGACTTCCGGAGAGCCTGCTGCCCAAATTCCTGTGGGAAATGATGGCCTTGCATATGTCAGACTGAGTCTTGGCTATTTCTGGCAAAGAAGATCCACCATGATTTCAATATTAATTCTTATCACAGAGAAGTATTTTTTCCTTACATGCAGATGGAATTTCCTGAGACCTGTTGCTTCTTGCCCCATCATTATTCATCTTTGTGAAGAATGTCTCAATCTTCTCTATAAATACCTTTCATTATTTGATATTTAGTATTTGATTAATATTTGAAGGATGTAACTAGTTCCCTCCCCTTCCCTTTCCTCTATATCAGGAGGCAATGAGGTTGGTTATGCACTGTTTACTCTTGGTAAATCTGACTTAGCTTGTTCCAGCCACCTTCTTGCACTTCAAAAGTAAGCAAACAGCTTCCACGAGGACATGTTACATACTGTTCCCAGGGTGTGCTCACCAGCGTGCAGTTTCTTTCTGTGTAGTTCTTTCTTTTCACAGTTGGGAATAGTACTTTGTCCTCTTCCTGTTGTCCACAACCTTCCTCTGGTTTCTGTGACCTTTCAGAAATGGTAGAGTGGCTTTGCAATTACATCAGCTAGCTCTCTTAGAAACCTCAAATACACCCCCACATGTCCCACAGACCTTTTTAAATATATTTTTCTCTAGTTTGTACAGATTGTCCCCAGTCAACTTAATACTACTGTTGGTGGTGTGCCATGTCAGCCTTACACTTTGGCACAGAGGAAATGCTGGTGGCTACATGCACATGTAAGTCTGTTATGAAAGCCTTATTTAAAACCTGAGTAGAACAATGTCAAGGCACTTCGTGATTTGCTGAAGTCTTTGGCTACTGAAATCAGCCGTATATGTGAAAACAAGCAATTCTCACTGACAACAAAACTAGATTCCAAGTTTGTGTAAAAGAAATTAAAGTGACCTGAAGGTGATAAAAAAACCCTTCAATTCTATTTCTTTTCTTTTTAATTTCATGGTTATTTGATACCTGACTGGTACTTTGATTGCTTGGCAATAATATGAAGATATTACATCATACCTGATACATAAATTACAAATGTATATAATTTATATTGTTAGCTTTATTTGTCTAGATAAGTGATCACTGCTTAAGAAATACTGGAAAACATCAGCAATCAAAAAGATACTTTATCAGGGTAATGGACTGTGCTTTTTAAGTATATTAAGTCCATACTTCTTTCAGAGAAAGCTCAGGTCACAAAACTAGTAGAGTAGCACTCATGCAGTATGAGATCACTAGACTACTTCCTGAAACACTGTCTTATGTAAGCAAAGAAAATTTTAATATCCTCAGTACAACCGCAACTGTTCGGAACACAAAACACACATTTCAGCATGCAAAAGTAATCAAAGATCCCTAGATCCTTTACGTCTCTTCAACTTATATGGAACAAATGTTTACAGTTAATTCCGTATGGCTTTTTATTTTATTCCAGAGAGAAATTAGCTTTCACAGTTGAAGCACTTTAGCTCCACCCAGCAAAGTGGGAGGATACCATACCCTGCAATTCTGTAAGTAGGCAGAATTTTGTACACAGCACAGGCCACTCTCCGCACTTTCTCCACTGAAGGATTATCACTTCAGCACAACTGAGTGGTTAGAGCAAGCACATTCTGACTTGCTCGGAAGAGTCTGGTTACAGAGGAAGGGCAGCCTGGGCAGTGAAAAGGCAGTGCAAAACGAGCAAGTTTTATTCCTTCAACTGTAACCTTATTTTAAAAAAAAGTAAAAGAAAAAAACAAACCAAAACCAAATCCCAGAATGTTGATTTGACGTAATTTCAGCTATTACAATTTCTTGTCCACAAGAAGGCAAAGAAGAGTAAGCAGTGGATCTGCACAAGGATTAGCTTTGCTGTCAATATTTTTTTTGAGTTTGAAATTGTTTTCTATCTATCTTAAATTGTAATGAGAATTCAAAGTCTGGAAAACGTTTTTTTAAACTTGAATCAGAACACTCCAGTAATGAAGTGGCTTATATAAGCTGCAACATAAGCAGCTGCTCCCTCAAAGACTGAAAACAGTATTCTATTTCAGAGAAACCAAGGGATGTAATAAACTTACAGGCTATTTTACATTTTTCTTTTAATCTGTACCTTTAACCATCTATTGCACCCTTAGAAACAGGTCATGTGCTTGCCACAGATCCACAGATAACAAGATAGAAGGTTTACTATTAGATCACAAGGCAATCCAGGATGTCATATACTATGCAAGGACATATGCACAAACATCGTGTTCCTAAGTGGAACAGACTGTTATTTTCAGCTAATTGTTTCAGAAAGAAGAGTATGTGGGTTTGCCTATATTAAAAAAAATGAAAATAATATATATATTACAAGTATTTATATTTTTGTTTAAGAAATATGTTTAATAAATCTTTCAGGAGTTTAATATTTATTTCATATTTTGTATTTGATATATGTAATATTCCTGTATTTGTAATACCATTTATTAACAAATAGGTGTTACAAGTTATGATTTATAGAACGTAAGGTTCTAATACTTAAATGAAATTATAGACTGTGATAAATCCTTTTGTCTTTACCTTTTTCTTGGTATGCACTCATGGCACAACTTTGTCAAACCCAGAGGTTGTTTTGTTAGTTCTTCTACAAGTAGTAATGGAAGTACTTGTTCTTTTTTCTAAGCCACACCAAGTATAGACTGCAGTCACTCCATGTGACTTCAGCTGATATTCTCTGGGCTCTCAGTCTTTAGAGTCCTTACTTCTGAAAGTCTGACTTCTCTGAAATGTTTTCAATTAATTGTGATAGAATGTAGATCAAATCTTGTTTATTTATGCTCAAAGGTCTATCAGATATAGAGGATTAGAAACCTAATCTCACATGAATGATGTTATCAGTCCTGGCAGTTCAGGTAATTGCTCAGAGTAATTCAAGCAGCAGTTATTTAAGAAATTTTGTAAAGATCACAGAGTGACAACCCTGGAAAAAAAGAGCTACAAATAATGCTTTAAAATATGGTAGCTAAAATTCCACCTCACCTATCCTGTCTCTTAGCCTCCAGTAGGTTAGTAAAGCCCCCTCTTTTCCTCTTCAGACTGTTTCTACTAGATATTTGGTACTTTCTGGTGTTGGGTGGGATTCAGTGGAGAGATCAAGTGAGTATGATGAGCATCATGAAAATTTTCCTTTCCTGCTGGGCTCTCTGAAGTCAACATGGACAAAACTAAGTGGGTTGCTTAGCTCAGCACTCCCCCTTGGAGCTCCACAATGTACAGGGCAAAAGACGTGACCTACATTCTTCACATTTCAGTAAGATAACCTGAAACTGTATTAAACTTGTAGAAATATGGTGGATCTCATCCTTCTTGGCATTTTCCATTGTATGTTTATCAAGGCTAAGAAAAAAATACATAGCTGTAAATATATATGCATATACATACCTTGCAAGAACGTTTTTACTTTTTGATCTTTCTGTGTGTCACCATTCTATAAACATACATTTATTTCAGTTGAAAGAAAGGAATGAGAAATTTTTAGTTCAGGGAACACAATTGTCAGCACTAGGTATGTTTTTCTGGTCTGTAAATAGAACGGTTTTCTTTCTTGTCATTCTCTTTCCTGCTGTAATGACTTGCATGTTATGCTGCAGATGTAATACATTCGTGGATAAAGCAGACTATGCTCTTTGCCAGAAAGGGTGCATGGTCTTAAAAGCAGAGATCCTCAAGACAATAATATAACAGAGATTCTTTTTTTAGAACTACAGTATATCTGTAGCTTAATTTTTGTATACTATTATTGTACTATATAAATATAATAAAAGTATATTTTTGTATACTGTTATTTGCATACTATTAATACTGCTTAAACAAATAAGGTTATTTAGTTTATTCACTCAGTAAATTCATTTAAGCAGTATTAAACACATGCTTTGTAACCAGATATTAAGTAAAATTTTATAAAACATATAGAATACAATGATTCTTAATATATTCTTTACAGTTTCTATAGTTGATCTTGCAATGCTTATTTATAGTAGTAATACAATGGAGAAGAAAACAATTCTAAAAGAACCTCTTTTAAAGAAATCACAACAGAAGAAAAAATATCACTAATTAATTACAAGAAAAGTTTGTTCAGACAAAAGCAAACCTTTGTTACTATGAATATGACAAAGGGATAAGAAACATTTTTTACATAAACGTCTAAGATTTTCTAGTGTCACCTTACTCCTCTGTTTTTCTTCTGTGAAACTTAATTAGACATTATGTGTTGTAACAACAAGTGTACTTTGTTCTGAGTAGAATTATAGGGTATCAGATCCTAGTTTCAGTTCAGGAAAACACTTAGCTGCAGGCTTGAGAGTGTCTTCATTCAAAACAAATCTTACAGTGATTACCATTGAGCATCTGTTTGTGTCCTTCCAAAGAGAACGTAAGCAAGTAATTAACACTGGCATATGCTTATGTTGCCTTGAGTAGGATGTTTCCTTTTTCAGGCTTCCCTCTGAACTGATGTAAATAATGGGCTTCAGAAGTTACATGTATAAGGAATAATTAATTCAGAATCCCATCCGTCAGCTGCACAAAGCAAATGGTTGTCCCTTTTTTCCTAAGGAGTGACTGTATATCGTGAAAGAGTGGCTTTTTACTCAGAAGATCTCCCATGAGGAATGCAAGTGTATGTCCCAGGCAGCTTATCTTGAAGTTTTTGCTCCTTTAAACACATTTGGACTCCTCCTATGAGATACATCCCACTGCAAAACTGCAGGGAAGCTCAGTGAGAATAAGCTCCGTTACCTTAACAAAATTATGGATGCTGCTGCTAGGCTTCTGGTTTGCAATTAAAGTGTTTTCCTCCTAATTTCTCCTTCTTCTTTTCCTCCTAGTCCCTCCTTCTGCCCTGTACTCCTGCAGCTGCAGCAGATGCTTTCACAGATGTGTGGCTGTGTTCTGCAATTCTTGTAACTGACTTAAAAAGGAATTTGAATAACATTATATTATGGTACAAGGGAGGATTTTTACTACCTTTATTTTAAAGCTTAACAAAGCCAAAGCTGTGGCTTATACAGCTTGAAAAATGAAATTGAGTGAAATCATCAAAGTAGAACACTTTATACTGTGTTAATATTAGTTTACAGTCTGCTGTGTTTTTTCTCTCTTAGAAAAAAAAAAGAAGCAAAAAAGGGATCAATTGAGAAAACACAATGTGTTGAAACAATGAATCTTGAGGAAGCACCACCTCCTGCAAGACAATATCCTTTTCAGGTTAGCCATGAAATCTGTTTAATTTACATTTCATGTGCAAGATGACAGTCATCCTAAACGGTTGCACTTAGTGTTCCTGTCCTGCGTGGAAATAGCTGACATTGCTGAGTGCTAATGATACTTAATGGTTAGACTTGATGATTCGAAACGTCTTTTCCAACCTAACTGATTCCATGGTGTCCTGGGTTCAGCAGAAGCAGTCATTTTTCTCCTTCTTAGTAGCTGGTGCAGTGCTGTGGTTTTTACTTTCAGCCTGGGAACAGTGCTGATAACACCGATGGTTTTAGTTGTTGCTCAGTAATGTTTAGTCTGAATAAGGACTTTCCAAGTCTCATGCTCTGCCAGGGAGGAGGGGGAGCCAGGAGGAAGCAGAGACAGGACACCTGACCCAGACTGGCCAAAGAGGTATTCCATACCACAGCACATCATGCCCACTATATAAACTGGGGGCAGTTATTGGGAAGGGCTTAAGATCACTGCTTGGTCAGGCTGGGTGTCGGTCGGCAGGTGGTGAGCAGTTGTATTCTCTTCCCTTGTTATTTCCCTTATCGTTATTATTATTGGTGGTAGCAGTAGTGATCTGTGTTATACCTTAGTTACTGGACTGCTCTTATCTCAACCCGTGAGAGTTACATTCTTTCGATTCTCCTCCCCATCCCTCTGGGAGCAGGGGGAGTAAGTGGGGGGAGTGAGCAAACTGCTACGTGTTACTGAATTACTGGATGGGCTTAAACCACGACATATGGTTCTGACATTTTCAGCAAATAGAAAAGCAAACCCTATTACTGAAGTTATGACTTTGACGTAATATTTTTAATTGACTGTGATAGAATTTAGATCAAGTCTTGGTTCTATTAAGTTCAAAGGTCTATCAAATATTTGCCTTAATATTATCTGAAATATATAGATCACTATACTATGTGATTATCACTTTTTTGAGGCAGAATTAAGCACTTAAAAATTCTTATTTTGATTTTCACTGCCTCTTTCCACTTCTGTTTTGGCCTTAATACCAAGTGCAAGATTTTACTTCTGACTGCTCCATTATCATTCAGATGTGCCACAGTCACGAAAACCAAGCCTATGCCCTGTATCAGAAGATGGAGCTGCACAAAGCATTACACGTTCAAGAATTAAATGTGATGAGAAAACCATAACTTCAAATTTGCTGCCTTTCATCTGTTTCAGTTACCCAGTTCAGGTTCCTCCTAAAGACTCCATGAATCTCAGTTCTACAGTCAGTGAAACTAGAGTGCCACTGACAAACAGTACAAGTGCCATGTTTGGGAGAAGGAATGCCAGTTTATGAGTATTTGTGTTTCAGCCTTTTAAAGCTTGTTTATTTGAAACTGTGGAGCACTGGGAGATCCACTAATTTCAATCATGGTTGAACTTTGGTCTTACATATTTACAGTCACAATAAAAAAAATATGAACACAAAATTAGAAGTTAAATCTAAAAATGTAGGTGTGAGCAGTTAGGTACCTGATTTAGATCTGTGAGACTTCTTGTAATAGGCATTCATTTTTGAAAATTTAAATGAATTATACAGGCTTATCTACTATTACTACAGGTTTCATCATTATGGAACACTAAATAATGTAAAGAGTGGTCGGTTGATTTATATCAGTAATGTTAATAGCTTCATCTAGCTTCAAAATCACTTGTTTCAAAAGCAAATAAGGAGGCCATGAAACCCCCATCAATTACAAGGACAAGGCAATACCTCATTACCGGTCATGGATGATTTAACCAAGACAAGAATGATAAAGAGAGTTTTTTTATATTGAATGCTTCGTTTATGTCTGAGATAAAAAAGCATGCAGGATAATGTGCTGTATCTACTCTAAATTTGTTCCTAAATAAGTTCCTAAGGTTGTCAACAGAGATGTGCAGAGCACAGGGAGACTGTCTATGTAGAGATGACTCCAGATAGCCTCAGTATTGTAACCACTGGGTAGTTGAAAGTAGTTTTTATCATTGCTTCATAGACTAAAAATGTCAATGAAACAATTTCAAAGAACCAGAATAAAAATAAAGCATACATGTGTTTCCTTCTGAATGCAATCAAATCAATCACAAAGTGAGTTTTCAGTTCTTGGAGAAATAAAAAGAGGGGGGTTCAGCAAAACTGTTACATGCAGAGGGCTGAATTTGTCCTATTTAGAAGCCTGGTTGATAGCTCCTTGGGAAGCAGTCCCAAAGTGCAAAGAACTCTAGGAAAGCTGGAAATTCTTTAAGAAATAAATCTTAAAGGTGTAGGAATAGGCTGTCCCTATGTGCCAAAAGATGAGCCAGTGGAAAGAAGACCAGCCTGGCTGAACAGAGAGATGGAAATCAGGAAAAAAAAAGGGGAGTTTATGATGTTTGGAAGAAGGAAAGGGCCACTCAGGAGGACTACAATGATGTCGTGAGGTTATACAGGAAGAAAATTAGAAGGGGCAAAGCCCAATAGAGCTTAATCTGGCTACTGGCATAAAGGACAAAAAAAAAAAAAGTTTCTATAAATACATTAGGAACAAAAGGAGGCTAAGGAGAATCTCTATGCTTTATTGGATGTGAGGGGAAACATAATGACAAAGGATGAGCAAACGGCTGAGGTACTTAATGCCTACTTTGTGAGGTGTATGTTGATCTATTGTCCCAAGTAACAAGCAACAGGATGAGAGGAGGTGGCCTCAAGTTGCACCAGATGAGGTTTTGATTTGCTATTAGGAAAAAGTTCTTCACCTTCAAAGGGTTGTTGAGCATTGGAACAGGCTGTCCAGGGAAATGGTTGAGTCACCATCCCTGGAGGTATTTAAAGGATATGCAGGCATGGTTCTTAGGGACACGGTTTAGTGCTGGATTTGGCAGTGCTAGGTTAGAGAGCAGACTCAATGATCTTAAAGGTCTTTTCTAACCGAAGTGATTCTATTATTCCAACTAAGCTAACAGAACTGGGAAAAATACACAGCTAAATACAATAACAAATTTCTCTGAATTCACATTTTACCATAGATTAAAACAATGATTGATGAGTTTATTAAGGATATTGAGATGGTGCTTGAATTAAGAGAATGTTGAAAACACAGAGCTAGAGCATGTCAGAATATCAGGCAGATGAAATGTCAACTGTCATGATGCTGTTGCTACCACTATATAGATCTGGAAGTGAAGGAGCCCCAGGAGATGAAAACCCACTTAAATTTGTGGGGTTTATTTTAATTCTCCCTCTCTTCTAGATGTGACTCTGCGTTGTACAACTGGGTCTCTAAAACCACTGCCTCCAGTCCTTCAAATGCTGGTAGGTGAAAACATTTGATTATCTGGCTGGAGGGAAAGACCTGGTATCCAGGTGGTAGGAAGGGTGTGGGATGGAATGGAGAATTGAAATAGCACTCACTGGAAGTTGGTGTAAACTTCTAATCTGCAGTGCAGCTTCAGAATCTTTGTGTCCAGCAGTTTGTCAGACATAATGACTCATCTCCCTCCTCCATGTGGCAAACTGGGAAAGTATCGGCCACATTCGATTTAATATGCTGGTGGCAGTACTGGCTACAGCCCTTGTATTGTATATATCTTTTACTTTATATACTTATTTTCAGTGGGATCAGGGAATGACATCAAACTTAGCTCTCTAGTTTGTAGGTGGTCCCATTCCTACAGATGCCAAAAACTTCCCTCCACCACACTCCCCAGTGAAAATGGTGCTCACAGTACTTCGAGAAAATATTGTGACTGAAGACTTCAACAAATATACCTGCTTTGTGGGGGTGAGAAATGGTGGACGAACTACATTTATCTCAGGCAAGTCCCAAACTGTGCTCCTCTGGGGCTGGGTCAGGAGTACAGATGCCTTTTTAATCCAACTTTACAGAGGCAGCCTCTAAGTTAAGAAATTGCAAAGTTCATCTGAGCTTTTTATCTGCTCTTGCCTTTATCTTGACTTTGTATCAGACAAAAGCCCAAGAGTGTGGTGTCCCACCAGCACTCACTGGGCCTTACTGTCCATCTGAGAAAGGCAGGCTTTCACAGACCCAAAGAGACAAATATAACACTAAGATGCCAAAAGGTAATACTTGGGCTTCATTCATCCTGAGTCCCCTAGCACAGCAGTTGCTTGATGAAAAAGGTCAGCAGTTAGAAGGGTTAAAAAAAGTAAACTGGAATATCTGCTTCTATGCTTATTTCCTCATCTATCTCCTCCTGTAAAATACAAGAACAATAGTGATATCTTTGACCTTAATTTTACTGCCCAGCTAAATTACTGACCAAAGTGGCTTCAGTTATAATGTTTTTATCTCTTAAAGAAATGTCTAACAGTATGGTTGGACTGTGTATTCACACACTGTTACACAGCCTCCTCCAAATTTAACCAGTTTGGGTCTCAAATAATGAGATTTTAAAATCTGTATTTCCTGCTTTATTTTGTCTTCTGTTTTGTATCTTTAGATCTGGGTCTATATCTTAGCTTTTTCTGAAAGCTAGGGCTTTAAGAAACACATAGATTATCAAAAGACAGAAGATAAAACCATAAAAGCTGTAAAATGGAGTTTTACAAAAAATAATAATAAAGCCTTGTAAAGAAGCTATGAACAAAGAAGCTTTTGACATTTTTTCTGATAATGAGATTTTAAAGTAATAGCATTATGAACAGGCAGCAGCTTAACTTGTTTCGAATACTGAGGTCTGTTTTGCCTGACTTCTGTCAGGAGATGCTTTGCCTATCTGGAGAGATCACCAGTCATGCAAATCTGCTTCTGAACATACTGCCTTCTGCTAGGCTTTTATGATTTATTTTTATTATCTGCTTGAGTTCAGAGATGATATTTTGAAAAGGAAATTTAAAAAGCAGGAACATGACAGTTTTCAGATGGGTACTTCTAAATCAGGTTTAGTAAATGTAGGTATAATAACTACCATATTTGGTTAGAAAAATTTGATTTCATTTTCCCAAGCAGTACAATATAATCAGGTTAAGAAGGCTAATACTGACTTCTTATGGTAAGAAAGTCTATATTTAGTCACAGAGCTACTTCTATAAGATCTCAGCACATTTTCATACAGAGCTACTTCTATAAGATCTCAGCACATTTTCATTATGCTCTTTCATCTACTCAGTTAGGTCACCAGAGGTACTACTGTTATCCCTAACCTTCCTTCTGCCTACTTTTCAGTTCATGTTCCTCACCTATCCAGCCTTGTAAGTTTTGCTCCTTGCTTTCTTCCCAGCTGATCAGAGGCATCACTTCTGTGTGTGGCTAAAACTGAGTAGAGGCACTGCTTTTTGCATGAGGCATTACTTTTGTATGCTTACATCCTGCATCCTTGATGCCTCTGTCCCTTTCACCAGTTCAGTTATACCTCAAAGTCTCCCACAGTGGAGCTGGTTCCTAAAGAGCGATGGCATTACAAAGAATAGCGGGCACAAAGGTCCCTCCACAGGAACCCATAGGCACATCCCCTGTGCTTTGGTAACAGCTTCTTGCCTGAGAAACACTTTCACCTCTGCTGATGCCTGGCATCCACTGTCTTTGCAATAGGAAATGGTTCATGGTGGACAGACCAATAGTGCAGTAGATCAGATAGAAGTTCATTGAGTGCACACACACATCTTCTTATGATTATATATTGGACAGGTTTTATGGAAGCTGAAGTGCTCCAGGACATGCTTCCAGTTTTATGGCAGGGGTGCAGTTCTGCAGAAAGTAACCATTGCCTATATGGACATCACAGCCGAATCACAGACTGTCACCTGCATCTCTCTCTAGGTAAGAGTGTCACAGTCATCAATATGAAACCCACAATAATATCACTGCCAGCATAAAGGAAATAATAAGGTTCACCAAGTTACTGTTAGGAAATGCTCTGGACCTTTCTGCTAGTGCTGGAAATGGAAAGCTGCATATAGGGACACAAATGGGGACATTCATCTCTATCAGGTTACAGATGAAGTCTATCCAGAATACTGTAACAGACTATTGCAAACAGACATGTTCAGAAGGACACAAATGTCATGGGCTCATCTTTGGCTGTTTCTTTTCCCTGTCCCTGGTTGGACAAAGCAAAACTAATTTCTTTGATAATAATTCTTTCTACCATTTACTTTGGTCAGTGCTTTGAAATTTCTTCTGTTCACACAAAAAGATGAAAGCTCCATCAAAGAGTGACACTCTGGTCATTCCACAAGTGAAACACAGGAAATTAAGAAAGAACAATTTAATCTCAGAAAATTACTAAAGCCAAATACAGGAGGGGCACATCAGCTCATAAAAGCATGTATTGAGTATCAGCTTTCTCTAACATCATTAGATGCTTTAAAGAGAAAACAGTTCAATCTTTGCATTATAATTTTCTCCATCTTTCTGAAAACTACAGGAAACACTAGTTCTGTCATTATTCTACAAAACAAACAGCCAATCTAAAACCTGAATGATGCCTAACACATACCCTCAAGCTATAAGCATCTTTCCACCAAAGTCAGATATGACAAAAAAGGAACCACTCTTATTGGGTTCAAGTAGTAGTAGCTGATGAGTAACAGATCTTCTTCTGTTCAAATGAAGATGACTCTGCTGTGAGTGATATCTTTTAAAGAATGAGTATCTCCACTGGAGCTTAGTGGCATCAGATGAGGCTTTGTGTGTTTGCAGGAAGAGATCATGTGTGTCTTCTGGCTCAGTGGACTCAATCAGGCATTCACTTGGCTCTTTGGTTTCTCCTTGTTTAAATAAAATAAATAAATAAATGTCAGTGAAGAGAAAACAAGCAAACATACAATGCTATGTTCACTTGGACTTGATTTAAAGAAATCACAGCCTGGTTCAAGACACTTGGCGTTCTTCCCTGGTGTTTCATTGCAGTGGTTTTCAATAATAAATAGGTGTCATTTGGAACTTTTTCTCCTAAGTCTTTCTTATTTTCCCTCATCCTTTGCTGTCAGTGTAGTTATCTCTGCTCTTAAAGAATTGTGATGCCTGGATTTTCTCAGTTATGTCATTTCCCAAATTTCTAAATGCATTTCATTGCCTTAATTTTACATGCTCTTTTGCCTATGGTTTGGGTGATGTCCCATAACTTTAATGCTAGGCTTCTCCTTCAAGTAATTTGTATAGGCCTCTTCAACAATCAGTGATGAGTGATAGACATTTCTGTAGGATGACATATTCCACATGAAGTTAATTGCTTCTGTTGTCATTATCACAGAACTTGGTTCTGTTCTCACCTGTCTCACACGTATGGACAATATTTGGGACGTGCGTCTGCATGGATGAGGAAAGAGCTGCTTGTCTGTGGCCATCTTTTTAGCTTTAATTAATTTGACTAGTATCATTCTACATGTTGAATATATAAATGATCCTGTACATGACATGTTATTGCTGTACTCTATGCTGCATCCCTTTATAATTTTATTTCCTCTGTCTTCAGAAGTGGAAGCATAGAAGAGTGTCTCAAGTGCCATCACCACACAAGTCAGTCCTGAATATGGCTGTGGCCCAGTGCAACTATGAACTCAAAGAAAATTCAGCTATCCACCTTGTCAGAAGCAATAAATGCTATATATTGCAAGAGGAAGATTCTGACTCATGGAATGCAAAGGATTTGGAAAGGCAAGTGTGCCCTGCAGAATACTTTTGTTTCATGACCATGGTCTTCCACATACCTCATCTTCACAGACAACACTGCAGGCAGTCCTAGTACCTTTCAGGATCTATGTCAGAATTACCTTAGTAGTTTTAAATGTTGCTTTAGAAGCCTCATTGTCATCTGTACAACTCCATTTTCATTACCATCCTTGGCTGCCAGGTTGAGTAAGATTTACAACAGTCACTGCCTAGTACACTAGCAAAGGTGGTCTTAATTTTGACATGTGCCTGAAGAAGGGCTTATGTACACAGAAACTGTAATTTTTTTCCCAATTATTTAGTTTAAATGAATAAAAAGATAAAATCTCAGAGATGTTGCCTGTGTCATACACACAAACCATCTAGACCAACACCATTACTATTGCAGTAGCAGTAGGGGAGACCAGTGAGAACTGCTGAGGCATGAATTACTTATGACTCCAGTCTCTCCCCAGTGTTGGCAATACTTATTCATGAAGAAAGGGCACCCAATACCACACAGGGTTTAATTATTCTCTTTGAGGTTCACAAAATGAGGAATCCCCTTTAGCAACAGAAAAAAAGAAAAAAAAGAAAAGGTATTTTTCATTAATATCCAGCTGAGGCAGAAAAGAGTGTCTCTTCCCAAGTTATTAAATAAGAAACAGCTTTAGGAGTACACTGGAGGCAAAGGCAAGGCAACAAACAGAAGCTGCCTGGAAGAGATAAGATTCCTTGTCTGTCTCACGTTGGATGCTAGCTGAGTTTGATTTTATATAATTGATAGAAATGTGGAAGGGAAGAATTTTTGAGCTAAGGGATGCCCAAACTGGTTTGGAACAGAATAAAATTACTTAATCCACTCACAATTCATTTATTTGAGTTTACAACTGCAGGAAAATCAGCAACCTTAATTTAAGCTAAAGTGTCTGCATTTTATATCTCACAAGCTTAGCATACTGTTCTGGATGAAGAAAGCAGCACACAATGCCAGCAACTCAGAGATGTTGTAAGCTGAGATACACTCTTAGGTGTATTCACTGGACTGCTTATGGCTATGTAAAAGCATATGATAAAGGGAGCTCTGCTTATAAAGCCTGAATAGAGGGCTCTAAGATCAATGGAGGAGAAGGGAAAGGTCAAAAGAAAGGGAGGACATTTACAGTTTTTTCTTTGGCTTGAGAAACTTGAGAGTTTTGCATTACTGATTCTGTAAGGACAAATCACACATACATCATTAGAAAACCTTTAAATTCTGCTTGAAAAGAAAAGATATAATTTTGTTGAATGTAATAGAAATGAACAGCAGAAGTTACCTGTTTCGCCTGTTTTCATGCCTTTTCAGTTTTCTTTTCACTTCACTGAAATCTGTGCTAAAGAAACTCTTTCTATGTCTATCTATATTCAAAGGTACTATTTATTCCCCCTACTTGTTTTCCTCTTGGGCACAGCATATAGCCCACCCCTTACTACTACAGATGCCTGCTGCGCCCCATAACTTAGGTCTATCATGCCGTGCTGCCAGATGCTTTTAAGTGCTAGCTCAGCTGTCCATCTTCACTTAGCTTAGCTTCTCAATTGCATCTGTCATTGTGTCAGGAAGAGTGCTGAGCCTACCTATTGACTTTCTGCAGTCGACCTTGGATGCTCTGCTGGCACCCATTAATCACTGGCATCCTTCATCGCAGCAGCTGAGATGACATGTAATGATATTGTTGAACAGCTGCTCGCATCGTTCCATATGATGAAACCAATCACAGGGGAAGAAGCCATTTCAGTGGCTAGTGAAAAGACTATTTCATTGAAAGGTAACTTTCTAAAACAAATTACTTCTCTATTTTGCTATATGGTAAGTAAAAGCAGAAATGTTTTCACCATGATCATTTCAGCCAGTGACATTCTAAAAATTGACTTTCTGATTTACTTTCTGAATCCCTTTATTTATTTTAAATGACCAAATTTAAGATGCTAACTGTGAATTGTTTTTTTTTTTTTTGTGGAAATGAAGATTTTGCACTGAGCACTTACTTGAGAAAGACATCTCTGAGTGCTGATGAGCCAAGATGAATAAATATGCAGCCTTAATGTTTTCCTTAATGTTTAATGCTTAAATGTTTTAAATGTTTCCCTCCCCCCCCCAGTAAAGACAAGGCAATATTTTTGGAATATTTTTCTTTTTAAATAACACTGAGTTTCCTGAAATGTATAGAATCAGATACAGTTTGTGCTCCTGACTCATGCAAAAAAACCCATCAGTTGAAAATACTGATTTCATTTAAATCAATACAGTTTTGCCATTGACTTCAGCGATGCTGGCATTTCAATCTTTTTACTCATGGAAGTGCTAGCAAGGCACTAAATCAGCCTTGCTAGCACTTCCATGCCTTTGTATGTATGTGAGTAGTCCAGTACAGGATAAAGGGAGTCCAGGTCTGTCAAGGTGATACATCAGATTCCTCTTTCCCTTTTTAGTAACGTGACATGATGTTGTAAGCATTAAAGGTATGCCATAAATGTATGACAGATTATCTTACCATAAACCATACTGCACAAGATTCAGAGGTTTCCTTAAAAAAACCCTACTTTTACAGTATCCTGTAAAAGGCAAGCATAAATCAGTATTATTTTTGCATAAGAGGTTATTTTAGGCATCTCTTTTTCTGCCACTGTTTTCAGCCATACTAAGAACACTTTTTGGAAAGTCTAGCGCTTTATATGTCTGCCATGTAAATTTTGAAAAGGTAGATGCACTCTTCATAAGGTCACTAAAGTGATGTGTAGTTTCGTAGCCTGTTACAGTATGCAGAGAGAGTATTTGGCTTTCTGACACATTGCACAGTGGAGGGGAAAGTCTGTGTGTTTATCAAGTCCCCCAAAAAATCCAAACAACTAAACACGTCTCAACTTTTCAAAATATTCGCTGTAGACCATGGCATAACCATTCAAAAAACATACCTAGTATGGCTTTTAACCATAGTTATTTTTCGTAACTGATTTTTCATAATTTCAGCATGTTGTTTTGGTTTGCAGGGAAAACACCAGGGTCAGTGAACAAGCATTGGCAGAAACAGAGTATCATTAAGCATGAGTGAGTATATAGAATATGTCTTCATAAGAATCCAAAGGATTCTTTGGGCAGAGATTGCCTTTCCACTTTCAGTGTCTGCTATACATAGAACAATGGTATCCTACATATGGCTGTCATAAAAATTATCATAATTGCAGATATTGTTATCAGCAACATAACAGCCAGCAGACTTTCAAAGGCATGAATGTATTTGCTTTCAGACAAAGTCATTAGACGCATCAGTCTTGTATGATAAAGGGCTGCTTCATGAAAGTGAACTGCTATTTAAAAAGTTTCATTGAAGCTTCCAGAACTGATCTGACATAGCATGTTTGGCTTGTTTCCTCCATTTGGGATCTCTCAGTTTACTGAAATATTATGATAACTAGAAGGTTCAAGATTAGAAAAGAATCATGCACAGCCCAGCTTTTAGAGAGACAGCTATGTCATGGTCAGCAGGAGACAGAGTAAATTACTTCTGGTAGGGATCCTAGCAGAACTTTAGGGCAGCAGAGTCCTCCTCTAACAAGCTACTGTAAGTCAGAGTCACAGAGTGAGTTCAGATATTTCAGGGTGAGGAGAGCCATTGGAATAAAGGAAGCAGATGGGAACTAGCAATTTCTCTTTAATGTCCTAAAGCCACATATGCAGGACAAGTCCCAGGTCTACCCTCTGGCTTTTAAAAGCAGTTTTGAAAATACTTACAATGACTGGCATTTTTATGTGCCTGCTGTGCCTTTTTCAGAAATCAGCTGTGAATAACAAGCCCAATATTCCTCTTTGAAGTCGGTATGCTGGTAATATCTCCTGTGCCCAGTATGAGCAGCTGCTCCATCAGAAGGACCTACATATCCTTTATTCTTTATATATGAACAACCATGGAAATGTTTGTTGAACAACAATGAACATTGAACAACAGTGAACAACAGTGAACAACAGCAGCTCCAGCCAGTGACAATCACGGCAGTCAGGTGAAGTTCCCAACGACTGGAAAAAGGGGAATATAACCCCTATTTTCAAGAAGGGGAAAACAGATGACCTGGGGAATTACAGACCAGTCAGTCTCACCTCTGTGCCTGGCAAAATCTTGGAGCAAATTCTCCTGGAAGGCATGCCAAGGCACGTTTAAAACAATGAGGTAGTTTGTGACAGCCAGCAGAAATCAGATGAAGGGAAATGTAACAGTCTTCCTGGTAACATGTACTAGATTGTTATTTGGGCAGCTGGAATGTGGCAGTTCATTCAGTAACCAACTGATCTATTAGCATATGGGCTGGAGGGCACTTTCCAAGGTTTTGATATGTGCTACACTTTGGGGAGTTGGACTAGACGACTTTTGAAGGTCCCTTCCAACCCAAACTGTTCTATGATTCTATGCTTTTCTGAAGTAAAAAGGGAACAGTCAAACATTACCATGTGCATAAAACTCCTGAGAACAAGTATTACCTCACTAAAAATTACCGTTTGAATCAATTCCCAAGGTTATACACTACCATCAGCACAACTCAGATGGTAATCCCATATGCTCTTTCTAACTTAAGTTGCTTTGTCTTATGGTATTTCTCAGCATTATGGTGACTCTCTTCCAATATTGAATACTCTAAATATTGAAACACATTTTAGGAAAGTTTGGGTGGAACTTGATCTAACATCTTCACAATCAATACAGTTGCTTTCCTTTGATGTACTGAAGAATTGCACAGCTGCAGGCAGAGGTGACCCCACAGCTGCAGGCAGAGGTGCCCCCACTGCTGAGTGGACACAGCTGGCGGAGCTGCTTCATCCAGCTGTATCCAGCCAACACCACCCAGCCCCATTCTCACCACTGCTGCTGCTCCTGCTCTGCTGCCGGGTGGTACCAGCTGTTCTGAGCAGCGTGGAAGCACTCCCCAGGCTGGCAGCAGAGGGAAGAACTGGCTTGGGTCTCGCACAGCTCTTTCTATGCCCCTTCCCCATGCACAGACCACCTGAAGGAGTCACCCAGCTGCCCTCCATCAAGCTGGTGCTCAAGGAGCTGAGTAGCCGCAATTCTGTAAGTGTCCCTCCTGCCACTGCTCTGCCCCAGGGGCTGCCCCACCCCAGCATCAGCTGCATGGCTCCTCATCTTCTGCTCTTTTCCCATTGCCTAGGATTCAACACTGGATGCCAGCAGCCTGGAGAAGCTGCTCCAGCACCAGGCTCAGGTCAGGCTCACAGCCTCTCACACACAGCCAGGGCCTGATGCAGCTCACCAGGGGCCTGGTCTGCTGCAAGGCTGCTTGGTGAACGCAGCACATTTCTTGCAGGCTGGTGCCAAGCAGGAGCCACCTCCCATCACCTCCGGAAATTGAGGTGGATGTCTGGGAGCACTCTCCCGATGCTTCTCCTCCACGGCTCTTTGCTTTGTTCCCCTTGGCAGCAGTGGGATCCGTAGGAGCAGAAGGAGGCTGACCAAGCCATTTGTGTGGCCAGGGACCTCAGCTGCAGTAGAGGCACTGGGGCCGCCAGGCTCTGCTGGTGCAGAGGCTCTCTTTGGCTGGCACCTGGCAGCTCTCTGCAGACAGGAGAGCATACTGCCCCAACCCTTCCAGGTAAGCCAGCACGGCCAGGGGGTCCCCATCCCACCCCACCTCATCCCATCCCATCGCATCTCATCCCATCCCGCTGGCTCCTCCAGAGAAGGGCTGTCCCCAGCACCTACCTCAGGGCCTGTCTCCAGCCCAGCAACTCTCCTCTGTGCCCACAGGACCTGCTGGTTCTGCTGAAAAAGCATGGACCATCCACAGAGGGGATCTTTTGGTGGGCAGCGAGCGAGCATGCCTCCCGTGAGATCAGGGAGGCCCTCAACAGCGGGGTTGAGGTCCACCTTGAGAACTAGCCTGTGATGCTGCTGGCTGTCAGCTTCAAGGTGAGCCCTGCTGACCTGGAGCCCAGCAGCCCCCAGCTCTCTTGGTGCTGATGGGCACCTGCAGGAGCACAAGCAGAAACCCAGTCACCTGCTCATGAGCCAGAGGGCCTGGGGATGCTGCAGGTGCTCCTGGGGGCAGTGGCCAAAGCCTCACATGGAGCCCTTGGCATTGCAGGATCTCACCCGCAAGATCCCCTTCAAACTCCTTGATGTCCAGCTATATAAGGAGTGGATGAGTGCCCTTCAGAAGACCAGCAGGCAGGAGAGGCTGGCAGCACTGAAAGAGTAAGTGTGGCAGCAGCCTGCCTGCTCCTCAGGGACTGGCACAAGCCAGGACTCGTCTGCAAAGCAGTGGCCTGCCTGAAGTAGCCAAGGTTTATGCAAGCCACCTCTACTGATGTGGGGTTTGGATCTGGGGAGAAAGGGTGACAGAAAATCTTTTCTCTGTGGGAATCACTTTCTGCAGACATTGGAGCTTGCTCCAGCAAGGGCCTCTTTCAGAAGGGCAGGGAGGGAGGGAGGTGGCTGCATCTCAGGGAAGGCAGTCCCTCCACTATAAACCAGGTGGTGGCCTTGGGTGAGATCAGCCTGGGAGACCTGTGTTGTCAACACCAACTTCATGAAGGTTGTGCTTCTGTTCCCTCTGGGTGGCCAGCAAGTTATCTGAGGCCAACATGCTCCTGCTTCAGCACTTGCTGTCCCTGCTCCATAACATCACCACGAACCTGGCCATGAGCAAGTTGACAGCTAGGAACCTGGCCATCTGCCTGGGTCTAAACCTCATCAGCCCCCACCGTGAGCTCCCCCCGGATGTCCTGGCAGGAGACAGGGAAGGTACACTGTGTTCACCTCTCAGCTACAGCCTCCCCAGCTGACCTTAGCCTTGCTGCTCAGAGGGCCCTGGCTGCCTCCTCCCATCAGCAGCTGGGAAGAGCAGCCACACAGCTGCACCTTCCTGCACAGAAGTGTGGATCAGGCTGGAAAAGGCTGTTTGAGCCCTTATCAGCCTCCTTGGTGAAACCAGAGCTCTGCTGTGTGCAGGTGACGCAGCTTGTGCAGCTCTTTATTGAACACCAGGAAGAACTCCTTGGGGAGGAGGTGGCTGGGCCGGCTAGTGAGGGGGATGAGGAGCCACCAGCACCTCAGACGGCACCAGAAACAGCAGAGGTAAGTGAAGTGCACAAGCAGCATAACAAAAAACTCCCCCCTCAGAAGGTGGGGCTGCTGCTGCAGGGACAAGCACGGTCATCCACCAGCCTGCAGCTCTGCCAAAGCGCAAAGCAAGGCTGATGCAGGTTGGCCATCCCTCTTTGTGCTGTGATCCCACCACAGCTGGCTCACCTGACCTGAGCAAACCCACCCAAGGGATATGCCTTTCAGAGCTAGGGCAGCAATTGAGCAGGGAGGTCGTTGCCCCCTACTAACTTACACATTGCCATTGCAGGTGCCTCCCATTGCTCCCAAAAGCGAACACCTGAAGAGCTCTTCTGGGGAGAGAAAGTGAAATTACCTTGCTTTCCTGGGTTCAAGGTAATCATGGCTTCACCTGTCTAACTATGCTATTGAACAGAAAGGTTGCCTGGGTCTTCATGGGGCACCAGGAAGCGAAGAGCAACCTGTGAAGAGGGGAGCAACTGGCAACTGGTCATTAAGAAGAGAAGGCTGGCAACCGAGCTGCCAGAGATGGGCAACTGAGTAAATCCAAACAGGGGAAGGAGAACAAGGCACCTGGGTGTATAGCAGATCCTGTTTTCAACCTTTCAAAGCTCTGAGTATAGGAAACATCCCTGAAGTGAACAGGATGAGTCCTAGACAGGGGGCATGTACATGCCCCTGGGGGAACATGGATGTCAGGTGCCTCTCCCCTGTATCCCCTTTTACAGCATACTTCAAAAAAAAACAGGAGTCAAGTTCTGCCTGTTCTTGCCCTCATGGCTTCATCAGCACTTTCTGAGTCTGCCCTTGCAGGTGCCCATTTCCTTGTGCTGCTTGGATTCCCTGGATGAGCTCTGCCTCTTGGGCTTGCAGTTCCACCCTGCTGCCCCAGCACCACCCAGGCGGCAGCAAGGACAGCATCACCCTGTCCTTCTGCTCTGTCTGGAAAGTTCCACCAGCTCGCTTCAGAGTCAGAGCAGTGCCTTCAGACCCATTCCAGACTTTGCAGGAGGACTTGTTGGCTCACTTGTCAGCTCTGCCAGCAAATGCCACCCTCTGGCCCATCTCCCTGAGTGGGGAGCTGGCCTCTGAACTCCATCTCACACATGGCCTTGAAGATCATTTGAGTGGGACAGAGGGCACAACACTTATGCTGGGACACTTGTTTATTACTGTGTTCGCTACTGTGTTTGTTAATATGTTTATTACTGTGTTCATTACTATGCTTATTATTATGTTTATTACTATGTTTGTTACTATTATATATTACTGGTTTTTATTACTGTGTTTATTACTCCTTTGTTTCTGAAATAAATTTTAGGATATACTTTATCATATATTTAGGATATATTTTTAGAAACATGTCATAGGATATAGGATATATTTAGAGAGTAGTTTAGGAAACATGTTATAGGATAGTATTTATTTCATATTGTTTGAGTACACACTTCTAGAGTCATAGAATAGTTAGGGTTAGAATAGGGTAGTTAGGGTTGGAAAGGACTTCTAGGAATTTCATGTTATGTCACAAGACTACTCTTAGAGTGATTTTTCAGCTGTATTATTAAAAAAGAAGAAAGAACTACAAAAGTCATGTCTCTATCTTGCCATCTGCGTCCTGTAGAATGTAAAATGGAAAAGAAAGTATACTTTGATTGTCTATGTATTAGGAAAGAAATGACAGAAAGATATTTATGAAAGCAGAAGAAGAATGGTAACTTATCACATATCAGACTTGACACTTCTGAGTGGGTGTTAAGAAAGTGTATAATGCCAGCATAGCTACACTGCCTTTTGGTATGGGAACAAACCACTACACCTTGAAAAGGTTCAAAAAATTCATTCTAAGCAGAGAGATGCTGAACAAAAAAAAAACAGAAAACACACAAACAAAACACCTATCAAAGAAAAAAAACCAAACAAAACCCAAAAAACTGACCAAAAAAACTAAAAAAACCTGAAAAATCCCACAAAAAAGAAACCAAATAAAAAAAAACCCTAAATTATTTTTTGAAAATAATAATAATAAAAAAAATCCTTAGATCTCTCTGCACTCAAAAGTGAGAAACATCAGCTCTCAAGATCTCAGTGGGATCTACCATAGATGTCCAGTGTATATAGTGATACTTTATAAACAGAAGGCTATCTAAATGCCATTGGGAAATTACAGCAGGCATCCCATCCATCTTCAAACAAAGCTGTCTTAAATCTGAGTACCAATAGAGCGATTTGTTTGTAATAGGGCTGAGTGACAACTGCTACAGCATGGCATGGGAGAGAGGAAAAACTGACTTGAAACCTGCATCCATGGTTCAGGCTCTTCTGCTCTTTTTAGAGGAAGGTTTAGGGTGTGTTTTTCACATTTAGATGTAATTTCCACTGAAGTTTCAGAATGGACTGAAAACCACAAAGTTGGCAATATCATGATAGTCTTGCAAATACTTTGCAACAAAGGAAGCCTGAAAATATTAGAAAATCTAATTTCCAAAATTCTTGATTTAATACAATATTATTGGTACTCCTCAAACAGCTCAAACTCTCAACATTTCAGATCAACAAAAGGCGATAATTATTTTCTTCAGCCTGAAGTTCTGCAATTTATCTGATTTCCCAAAGATATGAAACTCACTATAGTGCTCTATGACCATCTGTGTATATATGTCACACGTGTGTGCGTATGTATTTTCCATTCTCACCATAATTATTTCAAATATTTTACCCAATTTTAACTCTATTTCATAAGTTTCTACATTTTTACAAGTGTTGAAGAAGTAAGTCATTATAGACATAGGTAGGGAGTTCCTATTCCTGCCCCAGAAGAGAGAAAGGCTTTTATGCAAGCGCTGACACTGCAGACAATTCACATAGGAGGTGAGCCTGAAGGTGTGAATTCATAACAAATGAAGTATCATCTACTCTGCTGATGGAAAATCTACCAGGTTTTGGAACTGCCTGAAAACCAATAGATTAGTTCTCTGAGAAACCAGTCTTGGCTATAAGTTATCTTGAGACCATTTTGTCTTTCCTGGACAGAGTTATCTTTACCATCCAGACCACCCTGAATGTTAACTGGGTTTAGCTTCCTTTTTGAACCTCTAAGATGTCCTTTGACATAGAAAAAAATCCCATTAGTGATGCTGAAGGGCTCAGTTCTTCCTTTCCCACCCCAGGACGTCTTTTTTTTAGTTCGACTCCCAGATGACCTTCTCCCACCTGTCCTGAATCCTATAAATATTTTTCTAAAGCCTGCTGGGTTTCTGCACCACTCCACAACCCAGTTCAGCAATACACAGTAACCTTAAGCTGCTGCACCGAAATCAATACTCACGTGCCTAAGTGCTTCACTGTAAAGGGGACTGGATAGCCATAAGGCCATTGCCTTGTCACTCCATGTAGAGTGATTACTCTGCTATGCAGTAGAACTCTGTAAATGTAATCTGTTCAGCACAGCAAATAAATACCTCTATTGGAACATTCACGTAGGGCTTATTTGTGACATGTGTGAATGTTATTTATTAGAAAAATTAAACATTATTGCAGCCAATTAGAAAAGCACTTTTTATTACTTGCAGCCTTTGCTGCTGCCAGTGCCTCATGTCTTCCCTCTTAACACCACTGTTATATACTGGCTCACTTAAAAGGCACAGGGAGCATGCCCAGCTCTGCAAAGGTTCTGTAATCTGAATTCCAGGTGTGATGGTAGTCTGATTTCAGCTATGCTGCTTGTGCTAAAACTCAAGCAGACATGAACACAACTATTTGCAGGATTCAAATCTCCACTTGGACATTTGAGCCATTGATCACTCTTTGGGTGCAACCATCCAGGCAATTCCTTATCAAGTTAGTCACAGCCAAGTTTGGTTCTTGCATTGTAGGTATGTTCTGGATGACTAGTATATAAGTTCACTAGGAACCAAGTTTCCAGTAAAGTGGTCAGCACCAGAAGTTTTTCATTACACTAAATTTAGCAGCAGGTCAGATGTTTGGGCCTTTGGTATGTATGGAATTTGACTTATAAATATACATGCATATATGCCACTATGTTTGGATTTCCTCAGCTTACTAAGCAGAAATGATAGACATTTACACACTTAAGGAATGTAAAAAACATTTACAGCTTATGTTCGTGTTTAATAGTTTTATGCATCCAAGCCCCATACTCTTCAGATTTTTCTAACTATACTGTTTTTCTTCTAGGCACATTAAAACTGCCTACTCCCCATTTACCATTTATGTGTTTTAATATGGTAAACTAAACTGTTGGCAGTGGAGATCAAACAGTATCTTTGGTGTATCTAGACAACAAATCAATGCTGCTCAACTCAAAGAAGCTTTTCTGTTAATCACAGAGGTCAGAGTGGACTGCGTGCATGAGCCAGCTGTGGAAGAGAGTGGGTGAGCTAGGACTGTGTATCTCAGCAAAAATAAAATATGTTTGCAGATCACTTTCTATCCAGGAATTTCAAACATTTGAACTTCTACTTCAGTGCGTTTCAAGCTATGATTTACAAATCCCTGGAGCCTGTTCCCTGTTTCTAAAAGTCTGCAAAAGGTATCAAAGGGAGCCTTTTGTGAATGTGATTAAATTCTGCTTACATCCTCCTAAAGCAGGAATTTTTTTTTTGCAGCTGTCAAGTTGATGAAAGATTGGCAATCCACTTTTCTTGACATTGAACAATGGTGAATAAAGCAGATGAAACTATTTCCAAATACTGGGCTTCTTCTTATCTTTAACTTCAGCTAGTCTCCCAGTATTAACAGCTGCAAGAGAAACAGCTCATTCATGCCCTTTACAGGTTATTTATAATATATCCGATTAAATCAGAAGTTGGATTTTCTGGTGATACTTTTTCTTTTTTCTCTTATCAAAGAAATCCTGGCTCCAGGCTATATTGTTGTTAACTTCAAAATTGGCATTAATTTCAGTGAGAAACATTAATTTTCTCTGGAAGCTCTTTCCGCGTTTAAAAACTATCCGTTGATGCAGTGGAAGCAAGGGGAGAGCAGGATACATCAGTTCTTGTTTGGTTGGTTTTAACTAATGAGTCTTTAAAGGGCTAAAGAACTGATGTATTCATATCCCAAAAGCAGATGTCAGAGAACAAATAACCTTGTTTAAATTTTCTCATCACAGAAAGCTGGCATTCAGATACCATTTTATTCTGATCCCACTGTACAATGCTCCACTCTTCAGAATAATTGCTGATAGTGCACCTGGGTCTTGAATAAGCCAGGGAGTGTTTAGGTGCAAGGTCGGGCTGGGAAGCAGCCTGGGGAGTGATTGTTTATAGACTGGAATTTACAGTAACTGAAAACAGTCACTGGGAATGATGTAGCTGCTGTTTGGCTTTATGGCTCAGATCTGTATCTGCATGCTATGTATTACCATGCTTCGGTGAATAAAGAAGAGCTAGTTGTGAAAGCAGTGTGTGTGTGCATGTGCATGTTTAGCCTCTTTCTTTACAGATGCTGCAATCATTGCTGACAGTATTGCATATCACTGTGAAATAAATATTTCATTTTTTTTCACTTTAGGGTTGGCGTGATTATCACATATGTTCAGTTACAACAAAAATTGCTTCTTGTAAAAGCTATCATTATGAATTAATGATTATGATGTTATCCAGTGTTTCTATTGCTTCAGTATAATCCTGTTTTTACAGGTATGTGTAGCTGACACTATAATGTATTTGGCTATCTTTCTGTTATGTCCCACAGACAAAAAAAAAATCAGTAGCAATCTTTCCTATTATTCTATAAAAACATAGATACCTATAGCTGTCATTTTGGTTTTTTTCCCCTCTTTCTGTGTACATTCACATACATAAAGGGATGTTTGAATGGATTTTGTAAAAAGCTCAGTCCATGGATAGCTATATCTTGGGATTTCTCCATCATTGACTACTTTATCCATCATTGACTACATTAGATATATTTTATAACTGTCTTTATCATTTAACTTTACCTTATTCTGCAGTAGAAGTTGTTTTATATTTATGTACAGAATCACATTTGTCAGTCATATCTGTACTTTTCTTTGGACTGTATTCTCTGTGGAGTCTGACCAGTCATATGTTGCATGTGTGTCTTGTTCTGGGAACAAGGACTAATCTTCTATGTCTTGACTTTCATTTTTTGTCTTCCATTGCCATGAAAATTTTTGCAGGTATCTTAATGTGGGAGATGTCACTTTGGGAAAGCACCCCTACAAGGTTTATGATAACATGAAGGTGATTGAGAAAGTTTTTCAGGGATACAGACTTTATAGACCGCAACTGGTTCCAGACATCATCTACCAGATAATGTACAACTGCTGGCATGAGGTATGTAAATCTCCACATACAAACTGGAGAAAACAAAATAATAAAGGTCACTAGGAACCCCTCTTGATAGCTGAACTAATGTTCATAGTGGAAAATATCCCTTATAAAAGCCATTGATTGTACGTAGTACATTCTATATATCAGTCTAATTCAGGACATTGTTAGTACAGGAAACAGGTCATGAAGGAAGATTGGCTCCCTTTTATCAGAACCATGTATTTAGCAAATAACAATAAGTGCACTTCAACATCAACATGATACACAGAATGAGATTCTTCTCATCTAATTTAATAGTTTAAAATTTGGGTGCTGAGCTAGCTAACTGCCTTAATTCCTTCCATGGTTACAGGACCATTACTGGTACCTGTCCACGGTCATTTATCTTTTCTATCTCAGCCACCACAGAATAAAATACCTGCTTTCTTATACAGCGATCTTAAACAGCAAATGTAGATGAAACGTCTGCCTCTTTAGACAGCTTAAGTTCTGTGAAGCAACCCCACCCTTAGAATGAGAAGGATGTGCTACCCTATCAGTGAGTCTTCTAGGAGTTGTAAGTCAGATGCTGACCATGCTCATTTTATTTTGACACCTGCATCTTCTCTACCAAGACTTATCCTGATTTATTGTTCCTCTTCATCGAAATTTTATACAGCTGTCTGTGGACCATGACTTGTGTCTCAACAGCAACAAAGAACTGTTTGGCACATTAGTGGTGATACCATGAAATGACAGTGATGTTTGGTGTTTTTGTAATATAATTGTCAGAAAAATAAGAAAAATAGCTTACATTTGAGGAAATGTTAATGCAAAGAAAGAAGTTTAAACTATCACAGCATAAGACATATATAAAAAGTAATTTTTCTTATCTCATAGTCATCACTGTCTCTGCAAATTTCTGCATGCTAAAATCAGGAAAAACTAATGCAAATTCCAGTTCCTGAATGATTTCAAAATTAAATAACCTTATCCATCATCTTTGCTTCATTTAGCTACCAGAAAAGCACCCTGCCTTTTATCAGCTCTTATCTTTTTTTGAGGCACTAAGAGAAGACAACAGAGCTTGAAAAAGAAGACTCTGCATACTGGTTCCATATCACCTGTCTTCTATATGAGAGCTAAGTCTGAAATCTGCCTGACATTAGCTATCCCTATTATTCTGTATGTTAGCGTTCTTCTCATTTAATCAGCATTCTGGGGAAAGAAGCATATGGAGAAAGCTTTTGTAACACTCTGTAGGTGACAGAATTTGCAAGGATACTGAGGTAGAATATAATTCATTTTGTTAACATTGTCTCAAAAGACTTTTCAGACACTGAGATATATATTCCATTTGTGTACACTCCTTCAGTGCATCAAGCAGTCATTATTTGGCCTTAACTGCAAATGCAAACAAGGAAATATATGCTTGTTAGGTTTTTTTCTTATCATAACTCACCTGAATGTGTTTTTTCTCTGTAATCACCTGAAACTGATGCCTGAAGTAGGTCAAATTTAGAACTGCTGCGAGTGACAGAAACACAGGTTATAGTCTTGCTTTCAATTACTAAGAAATTACTACTGGTAAAATATTATATGTTTGCTTACAAGCACTATTGACTTAAGTTTCAGTCCTCAAGGTGTACATTTGATTTCAAATTATTCTAAGCTACATATCTAAGATATCTGCAACTTAGCAGATGAGGTATTTACTAGAGCGTTATTGCTTCCTGCTGCAGGTAAAAATAGAGAAAAAAAAGTTTTATGCAGAATTCCTTAGTCATTGCAATAGCAAATGGTAAATTTGCTGATCTCTATAAAACCTGAAGAAAATTAAAAATGCTATTAACATAATTACTTTGCCAAATACTTTACTACTGAGGAGGTGAAATTTGGCTCCTGGCTTTAACACTTAAATAAGAGCACCCGACTTTCAAATGTGCTCAGCACTGCACAAATTAGTGCTAACTTCAGTAAGTCTAGAGTTACCAAATACATCTGAAGCTAAAAAACTGAGGCATCTAAACTTAGACACTGGCGTTTACAAAATGCTGATCTAGTATGTATAAAATAAGGGGGGTTTAAAATAAAGGCTGAAAAACCACTCTCCTCTCTCCTTATATTCCAGCTAGTTCAGTGTGTGATGCCTCTAAGAGTCCAAGTCACATCTGCTTGCCTTTTCTGTGATGGAGCTGGCTCTACCCTATCAGGGACACCTCTACAGGTCCAGTTTGAGCTCAACTGAATGTAAAGAGTAAGAAATGCAGGGTGCAGACAGGTAGGGAGTGGGGAGAAGGAAATTAAACCAGAGGTTCCAGCACCTGTGCTCACTGGTGTTGCCTGGTCCCAGCACTGTAAGGCGGCTGGCAGAGCACATCCCTGTCTGCATTGGGAGCTGTGAGCAAATCTGAAGGAAAGCAGCATTTAGGGTCATTCAAATGACTGTGGGGATCTACACAGGCCTGGAAGGCCATGGGAAGCTGCATTTAATGGAGAAGTAGGGGCATGGTATGATGCTGCCTATGCATCAAGTTGGGCCAAGGAGTGCTGGCCCAGAGAAAGGGACAGGAAAGAGTGCTGACACAGGCAAAATCTGAAAGGAGTCTGCCCTTGCAGCACAGGGGATATGAGGTATTGTTGGGGCTAATGCATGTGGTTGATTTTTTCAATATAAATGTTTTATTTCTGTTCTTCTAACATCCTGCTGTATTTTTTTTAGTGGCTTTATGTGTTGACAGTTCTGAATGGTGTTTTTTGATTCATAGCACAGCTTTTAAAATTAATTGCTTGAAATGAAAGCTTTGCTTTAATGGAAATATTAGTCTTAACAACAGATCTGAGGACAGCTGGCATGACTAATTATGTTACTTGATTGTTTCCAGCTTTGCCATTCCCTTTTTCCTTTACCGCACATTAAGTGGGAAGACCACATATAGTTGAATTATTTATCTCAGAAGTTCAGCTGAAGTACTAAGATTTGGGGACGTTATGGCACTGGGATATATGATGTAGGTAGAAAACTTAGAGAAAAATTATTTTTATTGCTTTACATTCCTGTCTAGTTTGCAGTTAATCAGTATCATCTGCCTACCATCTGAATTGTCTCATTTAAGGGCTTTGTCTCTTAAATATGAAGTGAGAGTGAAACATTAGGATAGTGTTTTATGAGTCCACAGAGTCCAACTGTATATTTTCAGATAGGTTTGCCAGCTTTCTACAGTTTCTGGTTATTTTGGAGGCACATTATTTTAAAAGTCTATGTATTTGTTGAATGCTTTCATGCAGGCTTGTGTTTGCTACCAGCTTTTTGTCAGAATGCATGACTGGGTAGATACCTTGTGCTTTTCAGTGACCCTGGTGTGACAGAACAACTGCACTGGCATGGTGGCAGGAATGGCATAGGTCCTACAAGAGACAGAATCACAGAAATGCTGGCTGGAAGGGATGTCTGGAGGTCACCTAGCGAAACTTTTCAGTCAGAGTGGGACTGTCCCCACTGCTCGGTCAGCCGTTCCTTTGCCTACCTGAGTTCTGGACACTTTAAACATGAAGATGCCACAGTCTCTCCCAGAGCATGGAACAGGGAACCTGTTCCAGTATTGCAACACTGTCCTGGTGAAGAGCATTTTCTTTTTCAGGTGCAACTTGAACCTCTCAAGCCCCAGTCTACTGCCCCCTGTATATAATAGTGCAATTTGTATTTGTAGCATGCAGTATTTGTAATGCAATATTTGTAATAGTGGTGGTGAGGTACTGAAAAATAGAAAAACTTTACTGTCCTGGGTTCAGCAGTAGCAGTCATTTTTCTCCTTCTTAGTAGCTGGTGCAGCATTGTGTTTTGACTTTCGGCCTGGGAATAGAGTTGGTAACGCTGATGTTTTAGCCTGACCAAGGACTTTATGAGCCTCATGCTCTGCCAGGGAGGAGGGAAAGCCAAGAGAAAGCAGAGACAGGACACCTGACCCAAACTGACCAAAGAGGCATTCCATACCACAGCACGTCATGCCCAGGAGGTAACTGAGAGTTAGCCGGAAGGGCTGGGGGACTGAGGGGTTGGAGGAGGTATCGGTCGGTGCTTGGTTGGGTTGGGGGGGGCAAGTTATTGGTCGGCTGGTGGTGAGATGATGTATTCTCTTCCCTTGTTATTTCCTTTATCATTATTATCATTGGTGGTAGCAGTAGTGATTTGTGTTATACCTTAGTTACTAAACTGTTCTTATCTCAACCCGTGGGACTTGCATTCTTTTTGATTCTCCTCTCTGTCCCTCCGGGAGTAGGGGGAGGGCAAGAAGGGGGGGGGGAGTGAGTGAACGAGCTGGCTGGCTGGGTTTAAACCATGACAATAGTTTGGTTTTAAGAAAGTTATTCCATTTTTGGATGATAACATAACACAGAGATCTTTAGTTATTTTTTTTTCTGAGGGAGCATGGGCTATTTGTCTTTACAATACTTATCAAGCAAGCAGTTAGAAAAATAACTTATGTTGCAACTTCCTAACAAAGTTCCAGTGCTTGTTAGCCTTCATCTAGTATCCATTTCACATTGATATAGATTTCCTGAAGGTGCAAAAATTGCAGTTTCATAACAAATTGAGTTCTTTATCACTACAGATCTTCTGGTGATCAGTGGGCTTTTTTTTCTCACTGTCTATTAGACACCCTTTTAAGGTCTCTGTCTTGAATGATCAAGATTTTCCTCACAGGCATTAGGAGTGTGTGAACTATTGTTATGTCTGTCTTGACCTGTATACAACTGTATACTTCCAAGTTTTTGCATCTCATTATAGAAGAAGCAAAAAGAAGTTGGATACAGCACACTTATGGAAAGCAGCAGTGTATAACATTATGTGCATAACTCATAGAAAAGCCACAGGACATATATATCTTCAAATTTGCATTTTTTCTAGTTACCACATAAACAATAGATGTAGTTGATGTTGCCTATGAACCAGTAAGTTAATGGTCAATCAGAAGATGCTATGCATAACACTATGACATCCATAGTATTTTGGTCCTTGCTAGGCACTACTGCTAAAAGTGAGATGAAAAATCCCACAAATCCTTAGTGTACCCACATCTTCTAGAATGATGTTTGTGTCTCTTCAGATGGCTCAAAACCCATGTTGCTTTTTCCTTCTTCAGCATAAGGGTTCACCTCTTGACAGTTTGATCCTGCTTCACCTCTCCTTTCTCTCTCTTTCCTGTAATGAAAATGCAGTTTCTTATTAGAAGCCTCTGTTCAGTTCAAGTCCTTCTGGATCCCCAGAATCCCCTACTGTAAATAATACTGTGTTTAAACAGGAATCTTTATATAAAAGGAATTGTGTCGGTTTTAAGGGAACTGTAGCAAACCTACTACATTCTTAGAAACACCATTAATGGAGACACACAGAAAACCAACCCAGCTATATTGCTGTTAATGCAGTAATATTTAAAGAACATTACATTACTGGACAGCCTCCAACAAGATTACTGAAAACTGCCATTGGTGATGAATGTGGGCAACTCTGCTCTCAGAGAAGGCACTGTGTTCCCAGCAGGCCACACCATCAATCTTGCAGTGAGGCTGGCAGAAGCCTAGCTCCTCACAACTCCCTGAAGCTACAGCATCCAGCTGTGATGATGATGGGGAAATTGCACTAAGCTGCCAAATCTGCTGTGCAGGAAAAGCAGGAAGCTGAGCCTTTAGCTATCACTAGCTAGTGGGAGGGGAATTCTAAGCAGTAATTCTTTAACTTGCTTCAGTTAGATTTGGCAGCCTATTTGTGAGCACCCTGGCGATTCAGTCATCAGGACATCTTCCAGCGGTCATAATCATAGTATCAAAAATATTACTCACTTTTTGCGATCTCTCTGACCAGTGATGATCAACACAATAACTCCAATGACAACCAGGCTAATGACCACCCCAAATATAATTAACCAGATGGTGACTGGTGGTTCATAAGGTGTGGCCAAGGTTGGAAGTATGCCCACAAACTCCAGCGTGTTATCATCCAGTCTGAAAGCCTCATTGATACGTCCCCGAGACATCCTGCCATTGAGAGAAAATTCAAAGAGTTTTGCATGTTTATTGGAAGCATACAAACAGTTTTCAGTTGATTTATAAATCTCCAGTGTCAGCTTCCCCTGGGCTGCTCAGTTGGAAAGGCTGCAAAGGTGGTACTGTTAAGCCCATGTTCCTTCTGGCATAGGTCAGTGAGTGACAACCACAGTAACGTAAGCTCTTAATGTATTGAAGCTTAACTGGCATGTTCAGACACTGAATGAACTCTTAACCTCAGTCTTGACATTTATAAAAATGAGGCAAACAGCCTTCTGATCTCCCTCTCTATTTGCATTTCTCCCATGATTCTCTTTACCTTAAGCTATCTGTAAGTTTCTTCAACGTGTGATAGAAAACCACAGCTTTGAAGAAAACCACAGA